ATTTGTGCTAACATTACTGTGAACATGTTACAGCTAGCGCAAAATGAAACGATAAAATGGAACGAAAGGTTTGGCGTATTTGTGGAGGTGGTGGAAGAAGGCACGGGTTCGTCGGTATTTACTTCCGGCGTCACCGAATTCCGAAGGTGGGCAGATCCGCAAATTGAGCTGATTTTGCCCAGTACCTACAGAAATGGTTTGCCAGTTGTTGGCCAGGTGGTGTACAGAAATTCAGTGAATAGAACAGATGATGAGCTGGAAGTGATTGTGAGTGAGATTATTAATAAATGCTTTTATAAGTGGCAACCCATATTCAATAATCGAATCATTGTCAGAAAAAGTATTTCTGTCAAACCTGGAATGGAAACCTATGACCTTGTAATCCCATCACTGAATCTTGAAAATTCAGTGTATGTGACAGTCCGTCGAATTGTCAGAAATGATGGTCCACGTGATGATTTGCTGCGTCCGGTTGATAACGATCAATTCGAAACATGGTGGCTGCCACGACGGCGTCCTATGTGGGATTTAAGTACATCCATACAACTGGATCTATGGGACGGCAAAAAGGGATTCGCGATAAAGGTCATCGTAATGAATGGCTCCAGTGTCATCTGCCCCAGCAGCATAAAGTTACAAGTGCTATCAAACAAAGCCCTTCCCAACAACTCAACACTAACGCTGCAGTTTCTCTCCCGCGGTCAACTAACAACACGAATGATCAAGCTAGAGGCGGAGCATGCATGCGTGCCACAGGACAACGAATTCGGTCACTACGAATGCGGTAAGGGGGACGAAATTCGTTGTCTTAAAGGATGGACGGGAGCTAATTGTCAGATGCCTGTTTGCGATTATAATGGTAGTAAAAGTGGTGAGTTATGCGTGGCCTCAGACCGCTGTACATGCAAGCCGAGCGGAAAAGGCGCCACTCTCATAGTTAAGTCTGGTTCAGAAAGACAGAGTAGTGCAGACAATACTCCACGAAGAACATTCTTCAAATATAAAGCCACTCTTGAATTTGATGGGAATTTCGGACCTGAAGTTCGTGCTGTAGCATATGTTTTTGATAATAATCAAATGGCTTCTGACTTCGTTAAAATTGATGGCCTTCTAGCCTGCTCCTCACCGGCGATGGCTGAGATTGAACACGGAGGAGGTCTGCAGTTCGATAAGCAACTTGTTTCTCCTGGCGAGAAAGTTAGCGCCTCCTTGAAACTATTACCTGGAAAAATAGGCAATAAAACTTTCACAAATACCTGTCTTCTTAGCATAATAGATGTCTCGTCAAAACAATTTGACACAGCAAACTTTCGCAGAATTGACTTTGACGCATATGCTGGTCTGTTAACAAGAAATCAGACATACGGAAGTGAGGACGAAATTCAAGGCACTGAAGATGCCTACCGAGCAGCAGGGATAGAACTCATTACGATATCGCCTAAAAGTAAAACACATAAGCCTACTTACTGCCCATTTTTAATTGAGCCCACATATGCACCCTTGCGGGGACACATTATGGGTCCCATGGGACCTACCGGTGCACGACAATCAGATCCCGTGAAGGATGGTGTCAGTCGTTACCAAGAAAAAACGCAAATTGGAATTCCACGAATCCGAGATTTCTTCCCTGAAGTGTGGTTGTTTGAAACAGCGAAAGTGACCGATGCGTGCCTTAAAAAGTCGCTTACTGTACCTGACACTCTCACTACATGGGAAGCCAACGCGGTGTGTTTAACGACAGAGAGTGGCCTATGGATGTCTATGAAGAAACCCCAACTTACAGTTAGGATGCCCTTCTTTGTGGAATTCGCACCACCCTTGATGGCACGACGAGGGGAGGTGCTGCACCTGCCAATCAGTGTCTTTGTGTATCCTGAGTCCACCACGAGCCCTACGATGACTAACGCGACGAAGGCGACTTATCAATCAGGGGTTGACGTTGATGGTGGCGTTGGCGGTAGGCGTACCCCAAGGACATGCTATGAGGTGGAAGTGGGTGTGGAGACAGATTCACGGGATTGGCAAGCAGTTGGTGTCGCTGCCTTCACTACCTGCATCTGCGTAGGAGACCTGAAGCAGACTTTCTACTTACCCCTTCATCCACTTCGAGTTGGGCATCTTAATGTTACTGCCAAGGCTGTCGCCCGACGTGGTAGCTGTGTATGCGATGACAGCGATAATGGCTTCGGTGGCTGGGGTCGGGCATGTGAGGCTGTCGCAGTAGCCGACGCGGTCCGACGCTCGGTGAGAGTAATCGCAGAGGGTGTTGAGAAAAGCGTCACTCTTGGCGGCATTTTCTGCACGTCTGGAGGTGGGTTTTGCTATTTTTTATCTGTCACCGAGCCTAACAACCTAAAGCTTAACTTCCTACTACCGTCTAATTCACTTTTCTAAAGATCTTTATTTGAGATTGCATAGGCCAGAGTGACTTATCTCTCAGTCATGATATATTCATTTGTTTGCTTTTCCTCAATAGTGTGCACAATAATTATGCTCAATTCATACATTTCTGTGAATTTTCTGCTTGTACAGTGGATTGGAGGTGTAATTAACTTTACGCACACATGTAGGCATGTAATTATTAGAGTTACGTCGTCCTTCTTGGCTGGAGATCACTACACATTAATTAGTGCCCCTCTGATAAAAATGTGAACTGGGTTCTTAAGACCAACGTTGTAAGTTAAAATATGAGTGCTTTGTGCTGTTTTGCTGTTTGATTAACCAAACTTCGTTTGTCACTGCTTGAAAATGAGCGATCATTAATTGTAAAATGCAGATTTGGAGTTATCATGATTACGTTTAGGTCCTATCTACAAGATCCACACTGTCCTGGAACCTGTTTCCAGATTGCGTACTTTGAATTCAGCTACAGATTTAAGCAGTCAGGTCAGGATGGAAGTGCTAATTGATAATTAGTTTCTCTAGTTAATAATCACTTTACTTGGTTAAACCAAGTTTTGTGGAATATGAATAGTAACAATCTGACTTAGGTGTTATTTTGATAGTAATGCAGAAACTTTGCCCATAGCGTTGAAGTCATTGATCTCTCGATGTATGTACAGTGAGACGTGGACAGTAGAGGGTGGATAGAGGACAGTACTCTTTAAAATGTGAGCTGATTTGCAGCCACCTTTTCGCGTAAAAATGTGCAAAGCTCTTTCACAACTGACCATTAAATCAGCTGGAGTAAGCAAAAGACTACCTAGCGGCAACGGTGACCAGCAATGGATCACCGTGACACAGAAGGTTTTGAATACTTTTTTAGAATAGTTGCATTCAATCCAAGCTCCACACTCCTTTGTGATCCATTAAGTATATACAGTAATATTCATATTTGCACATGTTTACGTACATATGCATGTGTATGGGTGTACTTTAAAAAGTGGTAGCTCTTTAGGCCATTCTGATTTCATCACTTTTGTTAGCTCGAATGCCATTTATTTCTCTTCACATGGTCATTTGATATGATTAACTGTGCTACCTCTTAACTTTCCCATATGATGCATTGGAAACTGAAAGCATAAATAACAAGGCTGAATTCCCCTTGCATTTTGTTAATGAAATAGTTCATCACATTCCTAAATGCTATTTAATTAGTGAGTGTTTCTAGCAGGCTTCTTTAGTACGTAAAGTACCTGATCCTACTGTTCCCTTAAAGATAAATCCCATTCTTTGTGCGTATTAGTTTTAACTGAACATATTTGTGCCAGACCTCAGATTGGTCATCTTTACTCACCGAACTAATAACAGTTTTACTCGGAGAATGATGGAAGGAATGAAATGTTACAGCATTTTCCACATGTAATTGAAATTTGATGAAGATTTCAAACTAAGGTAAATTGCTAATTGTAGATTGCTTTATGTATTCACGCCCAAATTAATTGTAGCTGGGAGTGAAAATGGAGAAGAGGTAAATGATGGTAGTTAAACAGACAAAATAAAAATTTTTTTACCACTACTGTTAGAGTAAATCTTGTTGCTTGGCTGTTTTGTTCATAGACAAGCAATTTAAAGCAACTACCGTACCAGGTAGGACCAAATTCACCTCCCGAGTAAATGTAATCCCTTATACACCCTTCAAGTACCTTAGAACACAATTTGCTTATCAGCATCTTGTATCTATTTTGATGAAATGAGGAACATAGAGTATCTTGAGTAATATCACGAGCCAACTTCCTCATACTTCTACCCAGATTAAGTTATTGCAGCACATCCGGTAAAAACGAGTCGAGTGTGTTGTAGCATTGAGGACTGGAGTTGTTTGAGTCCATCTGCAACAAAACAACCAAATATTTCATTGAGTGAGGTCATTTAAGCTAAACTAAATGGAACTTGGAATTGATTAGCATTATATGGAAAATAATGCAAAATTTGTTGGGAAGTTTGCAGTGGTTTAGGATGTTGATAATAACAGTTTAACTCCATCGGTAAATGGGGTCATAAATACTCGCATTTAGTAAAGGGAACAACACTTGTACGTTTCGTCAAAATCGCAGAATTTGTGTTTAATATTGGTAGCCGTGGATAGAAGAACTCGCATAGAAATCCCGCAATTAAATACTACGCAAAACAGTACCGCTATGCACTCGTCCAATTTTATAAGGACTTGTATTTAATTCCTAAACTGAATTCTGTGGCACCTAATACGACAGCGCTGCATCAAATTGGGCAAAATACATGCAAAGGAAACACCTGGAAAAGTGCATGTATGTAAGGATCGCATTTAAGAGGAGTTGTAGGGGAATTTTGTAGAGAATAGGTGGAAATAATGGATTGTTCTCCATCGAAGCAATGCATGGAATATGGCAAACCAGAACCAAGCATGGTTAGCGTAGAGATTTCAAAAAATGCTATCACCATAGGAAAAAAGAATTGTTAGTTATGCGCTGATTGGTCAATGTTTTTCAGAGTCTTTGCAAGAGGATCAGGAAATGACGATCACACTACCAGACAGGAGGATTGTTGAAGGCTCACTGCGTAGCTACGTAGCAGTCAGTGGCAACGTAGTTGGCCAAGCATTGGCCAACCTCGATGGTCTTATTCAACTGCCCACTGGATGTGGAGAGCAGAATCTGGTGAAGGTTGCGCCTAGTGTCTACGCGCTTCGTTACCTCCTCAACCGTCAGGGCAACACTAGCGGTACAACAGACACCTCTCGTTACGATCGTGTGACTAGGAAGGCTGCTACTTACATTCTGCATGGATTCAACAACCAATTGAATTATCGTCATGCTGATAACGGCGCTTTCTCAGTATTCGGTCCACACGATGGCAGTAATGGAAGCACCTGGCTCACCGCCTATGTGTTCGAGGTGTTCAGTGAGGCCGAAAAATTGCCCATTGTCTCCATCTCAGGGCAGTCACTAGATGCTTACGCCACCCTAGCTAGTGCTTTCGATTTCCTGCGCAGCCAACAACGCGCCTCCACAGATGGGTGCTTTGAGGAGGCCAGCACTCGCTTCCTCACATGGACGCAGAATTACAATGAGGTTGAGAATCGACTTCAACTCACTGCACATGTCCTCGCTGCACTCGGTTCCGCCAACACTGCACTGAGGGAAGCCAAAGGCAAAGAATTTACACACTGTGTACAATCTGCCATCAGATGTTTTGAGTCAACAACACTCCAGCTGCCCTTCACTCAATGGCCCACCTCACTCTTGGCAAAGGTCGTCTACGCCACCAATGCATTCCCACATCAGGCCAACACATCAAGGCGCAACGCCATGGTCACCGAACTGATAGCGCGATCGGAGCTACAATCCACGATTAGTGGGTCTTTGCGATGGTGGCCGAAATCTGCGTCTAGCATGATGAGGAGAAGTTACCTCACCAAGGTGCTCAATCTGGAGACCACTGCGTACGCCCTGCTTGCACTCAGCCCCACCAACCTCTCCATGCAGGATCAACTGGCCACAATGCAATGGATTTCACAACAGCAGAATGAGAAAGGAGGCTTCTACTCCACGCAGGACACAGTGGTGGCATTGCGCGCACTAACGCAAAACGCAGCCGCTTTCCCTTCACCCACCCGACCCACACCAGTGGTGATTCACTCTTTGCCGAAATCTCTAGTCGACGTGCAAGTGGAGATGAGTGAAGGAAACCAGTTGGTGGCACACACCTTTGAAATCGGTACACACAATCAGAGCGACATAACCAATCTCAAAGTAAGAATCAATTCACCGAAACCAGTCTGTGTTTCTACCCACTTCACGGCAATTTACAACATTCCGAAACCACGAAGACAGGATGATGTGTTTGACTTGGAGATCTATGTTAATCAAGGTGGTAGCAGTGCCACTGCCACATGCACCACTGCACTCACCACACTGTGTCTGCAGCCTGCTCGAGCACAAGCCACTGGTATGCTTCTCGTGACTGTGCAGTTGCCCAGTGGATGGACAGTGACAATGAGAGAGTTAGAAAATGTGCCTCTTAATAGGGGTTTACAGAAAGTAGAGTTCAATGCTCAGAGGCAGGAGGTGAGTGCCTACTTCAATGGCTTCACGACAGGAGGTGGTAATGCTGAGAGGTGCTTCACAGTGCCATTGCATCAGCGCGCCTTCGTGCAGAATGCGCAGCCTGGTCTGGTCACTGCACGCGACTACTACAACTCACAGAAGATTATGCAGGCGCCTCTACAGCTGGACAACTGCCAGTTCTACTGGGAGCCAACTCGTGAAAATATTACCATTAGCAACTTTATACCTTTTGTCACCACTGCTGCCATTGTTCCACCTGTCACGGGATTCAAGCCAATGTGTCCAAAGTGTGACGAAATGGAACCCCCAGATTTACTCGACAGACTCAACAAATCACTATGTCTTCATGATCGTTACCTCTACGTTTTCAAGACCCACGATTCGACAAATAGGACTGCAATACCAGGATTGCTGTACTCCTTTGATTACGGCAACCGCCTGGCGTCATGGAACATCACAATAAATGACTTCAAGAATTTTGAATGCAAGCTTGACTTAAAGAAAGTCTATGGCATCTTCGGTGGGCACATCCACCCAGGTGCTCTGAATGTCAGTCTCACAGGGTACGAGGTAGTAATCTTTGAAGATCTGGTCAAGGTCGCCCCAAAGTTCAAGGAAAGGCTGAAGATCAAGATGAAGGGACTGGACGAGAATGAGCAGCAATTATGGTGTGCCAGTAGGAAGCCCTTTTTCTCTCTCCTTCAGAAGCTTAGGATTTATTGAACAAGAATTGTAAATGACAATAGCGGACACCTTTTTCCTTGTCGGTTTGACAAAATTACTCCTGTTTTAATACATAAGCTCCCTATAATCCTATTTTAATTCAGTCTATTAAACTATTTCTTTATTATCATTAACGGTTTTATTTTATAGCAGTCTATTTGATATTTTTAGTTAGTTTTTGTTAAACATCATAAATTTCTGTAAGCCTAGATTTACTCGAGGATGCTTATAAGTCCATATTTAGCCACCGTGGTACAGGTAAATAGGAATACAAAGGAAGAAGGACCGTGCTATCAAGGCTCCTGTATTACTAAACGTGAATTTTAATATAGTATTATTTTGTGCCAAACAAGACCCCTTAGCCAATTAAGTAGTATGTTCCAAGCAAGCAATAATACATGCATCAGAAATTAATGGAAGTTTTACTTTGTTTAATTTGGGAGATAACGACATCATAGCGACCAATCAACACTTAAAGAATTTGAAACTTTAGCCATGTTCGCTTTTGCTATTACTAACGCTTTTATCGTCGATGGAGCATGAATGCTAGATTAAAGCAATTTTCCCTCTTTCTAGACCATCCATCCTAAAGTGGGTTTCTTCTCAGGAGTTGCTTTTGTGATATGGGTTAACGACATCTAGAAATACCTTGCAAGACTAAATGAGGGACCCTATTTCCACTGACTAACCAGTTCCTGCACCTTTAAGCAAGGATCTTTTCTTATACATGTGCATTTTTCCTGTTGCATTGAGCGTGTGGGTTGCTCCCACAATCGCTGTTTGACTTTTAATAGATGATTAGTTTGAAACTACTAATTGTGTATGCAGTGTACCACGCACTAGGTATGTCTAAATTGATGCAATTTCTCGGAGGTATGGGTTGGGTGGTATAATGAGTGCAGCGTCCGGGATAATTAATGGCATCTCTGTTTGCTTTGCAAGCTTAACGATGAAAAAGGGATTTCCCATCCTAGCAAATCAAGTCGGCTAGTCAGCCTGTATGTCAGTCGGAAAAAAGTGCACACCGACCTGGTTCTATTTTACGCATAAAAGAAGTGACGAGTAAATTGACGATCTGAAGTACATTTCAATTTTACCCTCTCGTCTCATTTGCTGTAGGTGTGAAGCTAATATTTTACCATCGTACACCTAATACTTTTACTGAAGCATGCTCTTGACAGGTCAAGCTCAGGTGACTAATAAAATGCAATGTTTAATTTCGCAATATTTACAACGGAGAATCTTCGCAGTTGAGATGTACCGATCATCAGGTGATTCGTTAATAAAATCACTTTCCTTAAACATTAGGCTTTTCTAGCTGCAGCTTTGGAAGAGTGTGGATACCTCCGCGTAAGTCAGGAGATGAGGTGAAATCGCAGTTACCGCTTAACTGTTAGAGATAAAGTAAGGATGGCAGCGTCCAAATCATTCCTCTTACTTTGCAAATTTAACAATAATACAAATCTTTTACATCAAGATTACTGGCCGTCATAATAACACGTCAAAATAATTAATTGGTAGTGACCTACACTCTTTCTGAATAGCATGCTACTAAATTGCGGCTTTTTACTGAATTATGACTTTTGAAAGTTGGTAACTTATTGTAAGATTTGTTACAAATAAACCTTTTCCTTAGCTTAAATAGCCTTGGTACCACAAAAAGCACTTAAGAAGTGGTATGACAAATATGAGCTATCTATATAAGGACATAATTTGCAATTACTATATTAAACCTATTCTTGTAGTTTTAACAAAACACCGTTAAATTTGGGGCTCTTCTGGAATCGAGTGACACTGAAATGAAGTAGAGAAAAGTCTGTTAGGAGTTAAAAACCACCACTATCATTAGACAGCCTCGCTGACTTAGGAAAATATCAAATCATCCCCACAGATTTGCTTCCATTTTTTGGTAGCTTTGTTTTGAACCAACTATTATTAACGATTCATGCTTTGCTAAAGCATGTTCAATCGTAATGGGCCACTTTTCTCCACAGACTTCCGCTCCATTAGAGGAAGCAAAATATCCAATTTCTGAAAGCTCTCAGACCTATGGTTTAATGGGGATACTAAATAGTTGACTGGATCTTTTCTTTACAATTCGCAAATGCAAAACATGTTAAACAATAAAGTGCTTTCTTTCTCTGCCATTAACTACTGCTTTTGTCCATTGTAATAACACATTTTGTTAAACGACTTATTTTCACATAAAGTATTTAATTTCTCTGAAATTGTTATTTGCCATTTGTCAGTCTTGACTCTCATTCCTTATAAAACTTATTTGGCAATCATAAAGATAAAGTGGAAACTCGAAAACGTAATTTCGATCCATATTATTGCTCTGTAGTTCAAAGGAATCGCGTTCTTTTTTTTCTCTAAAGAGAAAAACGCAGCGGTCACTGTACGAGGTATTCAAATCAACTTGTAAATGTGATCAGTTATAGCGTTTAAACATCAATTTACTTACATATCTTTAGTTCAAATTTTGATTTTGATTTTGATTTTGATTTTTGATTTGACTTGAGGAGTCTGTTTAGCAATTTCATCTTCAGTTTTATACAAATCATATCTCTAAGTAATGTCATGCAGGAGTGGATAGGGATAATAGTCCTCCCATGCTCTCACATGGTATTGAATGTGTTACATACAGTATCATGTGAAATATTACACCCCTACCTAGATTTCTCTATTTGATATAAGAACCCTCTTTATTTTGCTAGTATATCTCCCAAATAATCCGAATATTCCTTAAACCTCTCCCAATCATTGCATATTTTCCTCTTCATTGAGCATACTCGCTTTACATCATTGGATCAACAGTCAGTAATAAATACCAATCAAAAACCCTATTATATTTTTTGACCTTAACATCAAGCACCGAACCAATGAAATACACCATCTTAGATCTCTCAGAGGAGGCCGTCTTATAGACTCGCTATATATCTGTCAGCCAATGGACCACTAGAATGGGATCCAATTTCACTTGGTACATTTTTATGTTGCAGATGCTAATTTCAACAATAAATTGTAAATTGGAAGAGAGGGTAGTTAAGATACTTGAAGAGCATGTATGCAATTCAATTCATTTGGCGGGTGGATATTGTCTTAGCTTTGTGCGCTGATAATTGGGGTAGAACACTTCAGAAACGGGAAGCAATTATACGGTAACTATACGCATATCTGGATAGATAAGAAAATTGCCCCAAGTGGGGTAAAGAATCAGTATTTCGAATGAGATTCAGGCAAGGTACCTCAGGAAGTTTTAATAAACTCTGCATTACGGTACTGAATATGTTATCTAGAGGTGTTTAATTTCAGTGAAGTAATTTTGGTTGATAACAATACTTGATAGAATTCAGATTTTTTGTTTATTTTGGGGCAAAATCCTACTAACAGCAATTTTTTAATAAACTTTTCAATTCGCACAAGTAAAAGACGGTATTTACGCAACATCTTTATCCATACGTAGCCAGTTTGTTTTCGAAGTTATTGTATTGGAAAATTCCCAAAGCCTTCCACTGGTCAACAGCCATGATTTTGTCCAATCCACAAAACTTTGCTTCACAAAGAAAGTGTGAAAGCAACATAGTGTTAACCTAAAGTACCATGCACACATGCGCGCGGCCATGGAAATTTCGAATACTTTTAGTTCACCATGGATGACCACAATTAGCAAAGCCCCTAAATTCTTTCGTCCCGCCAGGTTTTGTATTTGCACAAGGGTCTAAGAGGGTGCTTGCTGCCACAGATTATAGTGCGACGGTGGACGTGTAAACAGACACTATTGACGTAGACAAGGGAAGTTGCTAACTCTGGTCAGTTGCTTTGTTTGGAAGGCGCCATAGCTATCGCCCACGCATCTGCGCCTGCCGTATGTGATTAATTTATGTAGCAGTGCTTATGTTAGGCGGACGCAAACCGCTCCAAAACACCATCAATCATTTTGTGCAGACGTAAGGCGTCAGCTAGATATACTTTCGTCTGTGCATGTTTATTATGTTAATGTAGGTGCTCTCGGAAACTTTTTAACTTAACATCTGTGTCTGATCGCTGCCTGTACTACGTTCAAGACTAGATAATTCCCCAATCATCTAGTAGTTTACAATAATTTCCGTGCAATCATGTGATAAAGGACCATTTAGGCTTTAATTTTATCAAAGCATTTTAGAGAGGACCCATTCTGGTGAAGGTAATTTAATTGAAAAACAACATTTAGTAAAGTTTGCATATTTTTCAACTAGCCCCTGCTCATTGATTTAGTGGTAAATGTTAATGACTATATTTAATTCAAATGGACGGCCAAGCAGTTGAAAGAGAACCAAGCATAGCTTGTGATTTCCCAACATAAGTAAATGACCCAAGGCAGATTCTTCAAATATTTGCTCAAAATCATGATTAAGAGCTTATTAGGTGCGAATTTTTCTGAAGCATCAGCTGGCAGCGAATTCTACCTTTATGCAAGGCATATCCCAGCTCTAGTCAATTTCATTTTAACACTTGCTGACAAACCGTTTGTTCCATTTGACACGCTAGTATTGAAGGAAATACGGAACAGGGGCATAAAGCACTTTTTACGGTGTCTCTTCTCCTTCAGCGAAATGCGCAAACATCCTCAAGAGTGTGGAGGTTTTGTGACATCTCCTAAAATGCGCATGAGATCTTCCCCCACTGACTGATTAGTCCGGGCCGCTTTTGCAAAGTAAGAAGTGCTACTTGCACAATTTTAGGTGGACAGAAATTAGACAGCTGTCACAGCAGCAGTCGCAGTTTGGCTTTCACCAAATAAACAACTGCATCTGTAGTCCGCAGCACACAGCAGCAGTGCAGGCATAGTTCTCTGGGGATTGCATGGTATGCCATTAAAGGATGAGACGTTGGGAGATGAGGTGTGACATTTGCGTACGTTGGCCGAAATCCACAATAAAACAACTTTTTAGTTCCCAAGACAGCTGCTCATCCTGTTAAACAGCAGCAATTTTCCAAAAATGCATAGGAGAATAGAAAAGTCTATCAAATTAATATCCTCTGAAAGACATTTTTATCCACTTGCGATGGTACGAGTCATGTTTGTGGGAACTCATTTGCCAAGCAGCTAAAAATATAACTTTCTTAGAAATTAACCAGGGCAGTGTGAAACGGCGTCATCATCGCTTCTATTTGGCACACACCAAATCCCAAAATGTTTTTTATCAAAAGTGACACATCATTCCTCACGAACATCAGTAGTATGCAGATGTTTTCAACTTACGTCCTGCCTTACTAAGAGGTTTCAGCTTTGTTCTACACAAGTGGCTGTAGTATCCAAGGCCCAAGCAGGGTGATTCTGGAGAGGAATAACCCAGTGGTCCGTGAAAGTTCCCCTACTGGGAAGAAAAAATATTTCCAAATTCTGCTAACTGAAATCACTTTAGGCTAAAATGCAAAGATCATGCTTTAGTAAAGCATGGTGTTTCCCTTTTCCTCAGATTGGTTTCGCGCCTACACAAAAGGCGCAAGAAGTATAAATGAAAATATACTTCTGACTTTCAAAGTGTTTTTTGACACTTAGTTCATCCAGGTTAAAAAATGGGTCTCTTGGGTTCATTTTCTGACTTCCCGGCTGGCTAACCGACTAAAATGCTAAAAGCATTTATTACTACAAGAAAATTCCTGTAAAGAGGGCAAAGACACCATTAAATATTCTGAGCTATCCATTCAGTAAACTGCTCATCTTGTACCTTCAAGACACGCACCAAGTGAAAAATCCACTCGCCAGCTTTCCCCTCCCATATAATTAGGCGAGTAGATGATTAAGAAATGGGATGATTTCACATACATCTAGTTACCTATATTTCATCTTGTAATATCCGAGTTAGAGGCACTTTTTTTCGGTATTCAGTCGAGCGCTGTGGTTTAAGCTAAACTTAGGGGAATAAACACTGTGTGCAGTTGTAAATTCGATCTAATAATCATAGGTAGGTGAGGTAAATACCTTGGCACCATAGATTCTGCTGAAATCAAAGAAGACGATTGATTTGTAAAATTTTATTTTTTTATAAGCCATCCATTTGTAATGGTTGGACATTTTGTTTTCCATCACCTACCCGAGAGGGTAGCTTGTGCTTACTTCTGTCTGTCATTTAAACGCAGGCACTGGGGTATGCAATTGCTTTGGGTCCGTACCACTCTTGGAACGTCAAAAATGAAAAGAAAATCTTTCAATAAAATTGTGGGTTCTTTTATTAAGCAAAACTTAATGACAACACTTTATAATTTTACAAGTGTCTTGCATCAAATCTTAAAATCAATTTTTGGACTCAGAAGAATAATAAAGGTGAATAAACTAACTTTCTCCTAATTAAAATATTTGGATTTAGCGTAAGCTCTCAGGGTGT